AAATAGACAATTGTGGTGTTTGAATGAACTATTGATTCCTTTGTACTTGTTGAATACGTAAGTTTGAATTCCAAATACATTATATTCGTTCGTGTTTATCCAGTATTTCGTGGTTAAATTGCTGGGATTCCCAGTTTGTACTATAATTCAAATACTTCTAATTATCAAAACAATGTTCATGGAAGAATAGTTAATGTATGACCATTCAGTCTAATTCTAATACATATTGAGCAAGAGCATTCTAATATGTCTAAGAGAATAAGTGTAAACAAGTTATGAGTGGATAGACAGTTGACAAATGGAGGTAGTTCAGAAAGAGGCAGGAAATATGGGATTATGTGTAGGTATAAAATATAGTGTTGAAAATAGTATTTTGATACACAAATGGCTGTTTCCCGTTTTTGTCGAAGCCATTTGAGCCCATTTTTCGATATGGTGGGAAGAAAAATCATTTTTCGATTGATTTACTTATTATGAGTTTTATTCAACATTACACCCATTCTAATTCAATGTGATGATAATTCACGGTAGGTGTCGTATGATATTTTTCTGTGTATAATATACGATATTCTTGTATTCTGTTGACATGAACTATAATCAGTCTGTGACTGTTATAACTCTAAGTTTTTCTCATATATATATGATTTTATTCTAATTATTAATCAAAAATGGGTGTCAAATCAATATATAAACCAGAGTATTTTAGACTATTTTGATCATCGTCATCGCCGTGTTTTAGGGCTAATAAATTTTCACTTATACCAGTCTTGTGTTCTCACTCTCTCGTGGGAATCGCCGAGGTCCCTCGTTCCGAGTATAAGTGATCAGCGTTCTTTTTCGACACAACAATTTTAAAAGGTCTTGATCAGGCTTCTTTTATAGTGAATTATCTACTTTGTTTGTAATAGTTTTACTCTGTAGGAAGTGGAATCAATTCAGCGTTCTAAACACGATTTAATGAGGTATATCGTATAATGAATCGGTATCAATAACACCGGTTCGTGACATTACACTAGATTATAAGGAGCCGAAACTAAACGAAATGCTCTACCCCACAGACATCTGCGGATCGAAGTTATCTCCTTACCAGCATGTTCGCCGGTCAGTAACGCCACCCTCCCACCTTTTGTGGTGTTAGGCTCTCTTACGTTTGTGGTAAGCATGAATATTGCTTTAATCGAAGTCCATAGTTGGAATACACCGTCTCTACTAGTTCCATGTTACAAGCGAATCAGATAGTTAGAGCAATTGTACTGTGGGTTAGACGTCAATTTAATATATCACACTGCTGTTGTATAACGTGATTAGTCTCACTAACGTATTAACGTACTATCGTATATGTGTGAGAGAGAACAATCATTTTAAACATCTGCAATACCAGATAATATATATTTTATTATAGAAAATGCTGTCATTATCCATCCGTTATTATTGCACGCTATGAAATTCAGAAGACCTGTAGGTTTTTTGTCTTATTGTAAACAGTTTCGTCAACTTCCCGGAACACCCATTTGAACCATAGATACATTTATATGGACCGCCTAACATTTAATCTTTTCCAAATATACTGTTTACCGACCAAAAATATATCACATTCTCACTGCCCATCACATATTTACAGCTAAATTATAGAACAGTCTAGGTATCAATGATACTGACCATTAGAGAGAATTTCAATGATAAATATATTTCTGCAACACCTCAATGAGTAAAAAGTGTATTTCTGACGTTTCGTGGATCAACGCGAGTTACTTCTTCAGGCTAAACAAATAACAAGGTCATTCTCTAAAAACGAAGCCTGCTCATCACCCTGAAAAATCAATAAAAATTAAGATGAACTGAAATAGCTTCGAGGTGAAACGGAGATAGCTATTTGTTTATCAGAATACTGTTTTCAGTCCCACATTTTAAAACCACACATAACACTATAATTTCAGGTTCTTTTTGGACCACCTCTATTCATAAGGTTCTTTATCCACTCATACCTTATTTACCCCTATTTTCCTTAATTTATTATAGTTCTCTTGCTTAAACTGTACCTTAATAATAAATACTTGTACCCTAACTGTTCCTCCACATATGACTAAACTTCAATAGGAATGGTCATTGTCTCATCTGCTTCTCGTCCTTTCTTTTTCCTCCCCCCTCATTCATCTCCCTCGAGATATGCCACAATGAATATATGTGGAACGTGCGATTTCCTCATCGGCTGTCATTAACACCTTAGATATTCCAGAAGAATATAAAGTTGATGTTTCTAGGAGCTTTCAACTTTACGTAGATATAATCTTGATTATCAGTTGCATGTCACAACGCTTCAGTATACTGCTTAGACATTCAGATAAAGCATATATGGGAGCATTTGTGAAGCTCATTATAGCTCATAAAGGAATGTCAGGCTTATGAATATTCGATAGCTCATCATCTGAAACCACAAACATAAATAACTTTCATAACCACTTTCATACGCACAAACCAATAAAGTCGTGTGTGAACAGAATCACCTTGATATTGACATTTTCAGACATAATGATTTTGATTTATTTAAAAATCTTCCATATCATTCCTTCGTTCTACTTAAACATGAGTTATTTTTATTTCACTTATTTGTTTACCCTGAAGAAATGACTTGCATTAAGTCATCAAACGTCAGAAATACAATTTCTTCTCATTGGAGTATCACAGATATGTCATAAATATATTAAGTTCTACACAATGACTCAGTTTTTGTTTTGGGTTGCATCATTTTCCGTCGAAGAGATCTATGTTTATTTTTCATTTATTTTTCGAACTAACAGAAAACTTACATAACATAAGGGTGCTGATTTACTATGACCTACTATACGAAACCCATAATATCCTGAATTATATAGGATACCTTCTCAATTATGTTTTACTAATTTAAAGGTCTACATATCCCAAGTTTATCAGCATTCAAGTGTCTTGTCTATTTTACTTATTTGATGAGTTACCCATAGATATTGTAAACCACAAAGTCTTTCTTTAATATTATGTAATCAGCTATCTATCATAACCATCTCCAAACTATATTTATATCAAAAGTATATGATAGTCCATACCGTTAGTTAAGTTCATGGCAGCGTGACATACTAAATGGATATCTAACCCCAAAAAAGCTTCATTCTTCCGATTCGCTCGTAACATGGGACCTTTAGAGACAATGCATTCTAACATGTTGTGGAACACAGAGTCCGGCTAAAGTTGTTTTAAAAAATAACACAAGCATAAGAAAGCTTTACGCCATAAAGGAAGGGAGGGTGGAGCTTTTGACCAACACATATGATGGTGCGGGAGATAACTTCAGTTCTTTATTGTTCTTCGGGCAAAACATGTTGTTCATATACCGTTTCTAATGGTTCAAAGGGATGTAGATAATCGGTGGTGTTGATGTTACCTATCTGTGGCAACTCTCTCGATGGCTCATGTTTATATGATTGAAGTTTCACCTTTTACCAAAAATCCCCGTTACAAGAAAAAGTGGACAATTATTCAAAAACTGAGTCCACTAAAGATGACACGGTTATTCAGATTTTGACAACACCCTTACACGTAACGCCTACATGATGGAAGTGTGCCAAATCAGTCAAATAAAAAGTCAGAAATGAAGCGATCCAAAGGTATACTTAGAAGGTTATCAATATATCGGGGTGCGTCTAGTCTTAACGGCTAGTGGTTGCAAGTGATATGTAAGATGTGTGAATCACTGACGCAGATGACCTGTGTCGAACGATTAAGCGCCTATTCGAGTTAGACAGGAATAGTGTGACAAACCAGCTACATTCTAAGTCACATCTCGTAGTCAGCACCCAACGTGGATTACCCTTTCATCGTATCAAAGTACTATAGCTGCTTTGAAGGCCGTATAACGGAAAGACGTTATTACAGAAATATATTAGTAAGATTACGTATAAGGAAGATATTGCGACCACCACATGGGCCAGTCCATGATGTGCTATGAGTTGATTCGCGTCGGTTTTCCTCAAATTTGATGACCACAGGTGAACCGTCCGATATTTAGTGACCTAAATGCCGAATGATCTGACCAGGTTTCAGTCACGCCACTGGTTCTACACATAGTACAGTGTACCCACTCCGGATCTGGTGCGGATGCTTTACCTAGCGCCATCAGCTAGAAAAGTCCACTTAAACCAATGAAGTCAGCACCAAATGTTGAAGAATTAGAGAACAACTTATTTTGGGAATTTATTTACCGCTATACTTCTAACAGCCTTATAAAAGTGATGATGACCATAAAGTAGTAATAATTAGCATGGAATAAAGTTTCGTCTTTGTATCCAAGCACTGTGTTTCTTTACTACAGTCTAGGGGTCTAAATAATTTTAAATTCTTGTCCAAACTGATGGGCATTGGTCTTAACGTTATTCTTCAATCATTTTTCGCACTATTTGTTGTAGCCCAATGATCTGACTCCTATTTAGATTGTACGAATGATTGTTATCACTTATTCTCGTATATCATCGTCGACTTAGATCGCGTTATCCAAAAACGGAATTAAATAAGTCGAATAACGAGAATTGACTTGAGAATACATATATTTCGTACATGAAGCGAATGAAGCATAGCAAATCAAAACGACATGCAGGGAGGATGTCTGTGAAGCCAACTCCATTTTAATTAAGCGTTACTCAGTATTTATAGGCAGACAAAATAAACTACAGACATGTGATGAATCATGGGATATGAAGTGTACACACATATACGCTCATATGAAAACAGTCAAGGCTAATAAGCGAATAATTGACAAGGTCAAAATATGGCTCAAGTAAAATGAATAAAATAGGATGTCCGGAAGTTAGAATAAAGATATATGGGCTTGCCATAATAACTGACACTACATATTAACTGATTTACTCGCCCTCCAGATCCATAAGAAAGAGTAAAAAGTAGATACCTACTTAACCAAGATCTCTCTCTTCTAATTCAGACAAAGTCCAAAGAACGAAACGTTGGCCATTTGTGGCATGTAAGGTTTGAAGTTTAACCGCTTAGATTACTTTTGTGCGCTACTTCTGATCACATGCAATGGATATTCAGGTAATGCTTAAAGGGATACTTAAGTTGTTCCTTTTGAAATAAAAAGTATAATTATACTTTCTTAGGACGCATTTGAAGACTTCATGATTTCATCTTCCAGTTATCCGACCGAAGTTATTGACTTGACTAATAGTGACACAGACACAAAACCCATATCACCAGCTGCTGTTCGACACCTTTCCAGAGAAAAGAATAAAAGCACTTCAAAGGCACTTGCTGAAGCCGACGGCTGTTCCAAAGATATGGGGGAGAAGAGTGTTTGTGAAGACGAAGATTTTGATATCGAAGATGAAAGCATCATAGAACGCTTAATTGGTCTCTTAGAAATGTTTCCAGAGCCAGTACGTCGCGGTGTTTCTTTCGCCTACAGTGCAGCTTCAGAAGGCGTTGTATCGGGTTATTCTCTCAGCAGATCGGTGACTTGGTTTTTGGTGAGCACAGCTACTGTATGTTTCCTCCCACTTATTCTGGAGCTAGAACGAGTTCAAACTGAAGAGCAAGAGGCAGTACAACAGCGTGCAATGATGCTTGGCCCTAGGGCTGCAGGTGGTGGTTCTGGCTTGGCCGGATTCTCAGCAGCAGTTCCTCATCTTACTCATATAGAACCCAAGTAGAAAACGTATTCTTTGTATGCATTTGTACTTTCACCTGTAATTATAAGCTAATACAAATACTGTTACGCTCATAACAGCAACCCATATTTAGTTCACTAAGTCTTCACCGTTAATTTGTACGTGAGGTTGGAAAAAAATTATGGGCGACCAAACCAAAATATGGCATCGGTGCTTGAAGTCACTAACTTCTGTTCTGTTGTCATGTTGGTAGATGCAGACTACTCGGTTGGGGTCCGCGTGACTATCGTAACCAATGGTTGGAGACTCTTGGTGACATGGCTCAGAATATATCACAATGGCGTCAGTGTATACTTTTTGTCTTCCCTTAAGCTATGAGATTAAAATCAGATTCAGATTTGTGTAGTAAGGACAGAAGGCCTACGGCCTATGTTATTCCTTTTCTAGTATGTTTCTCTGAATGTCAAGTCTTCTTTTGAAAGAGTCAATTGAAGGTGCGGACACCACTGCTTCAGGCAGCAGGTTCCAAGTATTGATGACTTGGTGTGAAAACTTGTATGCCACTGTTATTTTACTCGTTCTTGGCTTTTCTACTCGCCTGCTATATCCTCTGAGATGTCCCGATCTAGTGGGAAGAAAAAGAGAGAATAAGTTAGGTCCGAAATCATTTCTCAGTATTCCGTACATCAAATTTAGATCTCCCCTTAGTCTGCGCATCGTTAATAATCACTCGGTTAACGTTACAGAACGTAAGACCAGATGCTGCACATGCTTATATTCAAGTCTGTCAAGTATGATGTTTTAATGATCTCTTTACGATTCTCGTCCTATTTAGTTCGTATTTTCTATTTGATGTGGCAGTCGACCAATTTGACACCCAAGGTTTATTACCTTACTTGTGTTGGGCTGTTGGATAGCTTAACTACTTGAAATTACCTAGTGGGAGGCGACACTTATTTGGGGTCTAAAAATCCATGCTCCATTTCCGCCGTGGGTATGTATTGGAAAAATTCAGCTATTAATATGTCTATAACCCGCTGCTACTTGGTTGTTGGCTTAGTTTATTTTCTTTATCTGTTGACAGTCATATACTTAAACTTTATCAGCATAGGGTTGTGTGGATCGCTGAGTTTTTATTGAAATCATGAACCGGTCAGTGTTGGGTCTATGATGAAAACCTAGAAGTCAAGCGATCTTGCGAAACCGAAGGTCCTGGATTCAAGTCCGGGTCCAGGTTTGCAATGATGGTCTAACATTGTTCGGTTTATAATCTTAATAGAAATCTCACTTGTAGATGACCGTTAACCTCTGCTCTATGCAGGATAAATATTTGCATATTCGCTACGTCAAAAATCTCTGCGTGTCTGATATCTGAAGCTTTTTCACCCTTCAATATCAATATTCTATAATATATTTGACTCGGATTTAAGATAAATTATTCTCTAGTCAAGCCATGGTAAATATTACTTGTTACTCGGGAGATTATGGTCTTCGCATGAAATTGCACACAAAGTACAGGAACACTTCCAAATAGTGGAGATTTCGTTGTGCTCTTACATTCCAGCAAAGCTTGTTGTACTGCATAAATAGCCATATTTAGCTCTACACTTAGCTTTTCGTTTAGAGTGGTACTAAAATTGATACACTGGTTCTCCGTATCAGACAAAATTAAAGGCGCTGCTTACAAATCAGGTAAATTATTGAAAAATCATGTATACGTACTCGAGATTTCGGATTCCAGTACTCCATAAACACCCCATCATGTCCTTCAAAACCCTATTGTCAATCCCTAGTTTTATTTTTTTGTCATTACTACTACTACCGCTACATTTTATCACCCATCTTTTTTAGTTTCATCTCGTCGTGTTAGTACGGCATGACAACATGGTCAGGCACATTTATACTACCTTCTATGTTATTAATAACTGTCTTAGTATCGGGAAATCGTTGACTAAATATGCAACTGGTATGCATATAGACTAGTTAAAAGGCAATACTTGTGGATGAGTTTAAGATCCGCTCATACTGTTATCTAGTTGTAGACTAATTATAATAATTCTCTGAGAAAGTAAGAGAATGGAGACAACTGTTAAAATGTGAGATATATGTCATAAGTTGTGTAAGAATCAATACAAAAAGGGTTGACTAATTAGGTGAAGCTCAGGAAAAAAGCGAGAAATAATTAAAAAGCATGGAGAAAGGTGTTGCACAACTAACTCTTGCAATTGGTGTTACCAAGGCAAAGCAAAGTTAACAACATTGTCCTCTTGTGTAGGTAGGTTTAGCTTGGATATTCTGATAACAATGGCTTCAAAAGGACTCAGTAAACTCAATATCGTTTGCTTATTATTGCGAAAGATTTCTGGAGAGTAACGTCATCACTAGGCAAACGATCGCACTACTAAAAATTTGTTTCTCTTTATGCAATGTATTCGGAGACGCAAACAGTAACTCTCCTTTTTGTCCTTTGGCATGTACTTGTAAACTAGTAGACATAATTGGAAGTAGATCAATATAGGAGTTAATTCACACTTGACGTTTGGTGTAGACGTTGTAGCCACTATATTATTTGATATTTTCATCTTAAATGTCAATAAAATCTGAGCTTTACTAATAACTTCAAAATTTTTATTCAAGATCACTAATAATTTTTAATCATTACTCCATTAGATAATTAAATAAATTCTCTCACTTATCCATTGGAGCTTTTATTTCTCACGATCGCTTTGTAATTCTGTCTAGAATGAGCCAGTGATAGAGTGACGATATATAGAGACACAATGGAGCCATCTGATAAGGTTGGGTCAAAAACTGTTTCTAACTTAATTATTATAAAATGACTGGTAAGGCTTGATTTTACTCACTTAGGTTGTACATTTTTGTACGAAGTGTAAGAGCACTGCATATGTAAACATAATAGGAATAGTGAATGAGCTGACTCCGAAAACTCATTCACGGACGTTGACGATACGTCTACTCTCTAACGGTCAACCTCGGTGATGATTGGCAAGATTAATAAAAAATCCGTTTACAACTGACAACCCAGTCAACCAGACAAGAATCAACAAACAAGTGGAGAGGTGTTGGTTTGCTGTTAGTTATCTCTCATCTTTTATCGGATCATGTTTTAATAATCGGGTAATCACATATATTATCTCTTGAATAACTTGTCGTTTGTCAGTCACGGTGAATAAATCTGGTCAAGTTATTTGACCATAATGTATGTAAAACATTTGATTTATACTACTACATACATGATTAACTCAAAAAATCAAAGTAAAATTACTTTTAAAAAATACACTTTAGTTCTAATAGTGAGTTATATTTACAGCAGCCATTTTTACAAGTAATATATCTTTTTAGTTAACGGTTTTTGGTGCACTCAGTTTGTTCAACCTGTGATTTGGTGTCCAGTGTCCCAAACTTTGGTTAGCATAATAATCCATGGGATAGGCTTCGGATAAATCTCGAGGCCAAAAAACTTGCTCATTTAAAGCAACGAATGCTTCGTATGGTGTGAGTAAAGGTTTAGTAAACTCAACACCCCAGTCAATACTAAGACGAGGACATGCAACCTTTGGAGCAAAAAAGAATAATGAAGTAGCTCTTTTGAATCGACAAATTTATGCAACAAAAGTAAAATGTTATATGATCAACAAGGATGTGTAAAATCTACACCTTATTGACTTGGAGTATGGCAAATGGCATTGTTGTATTTGATGAGGGTGCTGGAAAAGTTCGAAGTTTCCTAAAAGCTTTAAGTGATGATGGAAGGATGGTTGGGATACATTTACCCTTCTTCATGTTCAAAATATTGCTTGAGGACTGATTTGAATCAATACATTTTTGGACCATACAGAGTAAATTAATTACTGATACATGACGACACCCTCATTTACCTTTGAAATTCCGAAAGGGTAGTGAATAACGAATAACATATTCCACCTCCCGCGCCTGTGGATTTGTTTTTTAAAAACAAACGAGAAGTATACTGCACAGCAGTTGGCTTTATGTTCTTGTCTGTAAAAAACAGCCAGCGAAGGTTCAGGACAAGTGTATTTCTTCAAATTACTGTCTGGGTGTGGTAGAACTACATACTGAATGTAAGCATAATGTTTAAAGTCGAAATAGCAAGTCGACTGATCAGACTGTGAATCTTTGCCGACTTGACTGTTCACAACATTTGCTACGTATGTCCAACCACCGAAGTGCTAAGCTGGATAGGAGAGGAGCAGGTCTAAATAACGTATGGATGGGCTAGACCAATTGTAACATCGATCCATTGAGTCATTTACTGTCGACTTTGTCTTTATAGCAGTCGTTTGACGGATTAGTTCGACTATCCTGAGTGGTTGAGTTGAGGTTCTCTCAGCAAGTGTATTTGTAAATGGAAATAACGTTCATAACGAAGTCAATTCTGATGACGAAACGTCCATAATCGAACGGAGTGGCTTACAAGACATCAAACATATTATGTCGCCCATTGACGAAGCTGAAGAAGTTTAGCACGAACCAGACAATTTATTATTGGAATACATCATAAGTGGTTATAGTAAATCGCGTTTCTAATTTCCAAGCCCATTAAAAGTATTTCAACCATAAAATCAGGTCATTTTAACGCTTACGGCACTTAAAAATTGTCATACGCATATATGATTTGAAGCCTAAAACCGAAAAGTTAAGGATACCTGAATCCAGACGTCTACTTGTTCATCGAAAAGCGCTAATTTACTTGGAATTATTTCAGACAGCAATAGTATAATGTAAGTCTTTCCTGATCTTTCCAATTCTGTCTGAAGTTGTTTCACAACGGTTGGTGACCCTTGTTTTCCGAGTGTACCTATATTACAATAAGAGGAAAAGTAGTACGAAAAGTTTCTCAGTTGGATGCTAGTGAGGTTAGAGAAAAGCAATTTATTTGGGAAGGAAATGGTATTTATGAAAAATTTTTGAGTAAATGGTTAGTGAAGGTTTGATTGATTTGGGAGTAATTTTCTTCACAGTATAGTTCCAACTAGAGAAACAATGAGAACTAGTAAACACGGGATGGTTGCTTTAATAAAATAAATATTCAAGAGATGTACGTACACTTCATAAGAGATCAAACGTAAGCTCTCCAGGTTTCGTGGTATCTTTTGTCTAACCAGTAGGTCGAGGTTCGTTACCTCTGGAGCGATCGATTCGGCAGAA